GCAAACTCTCTGGACTTTCTGCTGCTGACAGAAACGTGGCTGAGACCGGGCGATAACAGCGCGTTTTCTGATCTCTCCCCCTCGGGCTGCTCCTTCTTCAGCTCCCCACGTCTGACAGGCCGCGGTGGTGGTGTTGCCACTATCTATAAGGACAATTTTAAATGCAGACTTCTGCCCACCATCACTTACTCCTCCTTTGAACTTCAGATGTTTGTGATTGAGCTCACCCCGAATGTTTTATGTGCCGTTGCCTATCGCCCACCTAAATATAACAAGGAATTCATTCAAGAATTCTCTGAATTCCTTGCTGATATTATTTCTAATTATGACAGTTTTTTTATTTGTGGAGATTTTAATATTCGTATTTGTTGTCCCACTGACCCACTGGCTTCTGAGTTTTTAAAGCTTTTAGCCTCTTTTAATTGAACACAATCAGTGAATTCACCAACACATCATCTTGGCCACACTCTGGACCTTATTATTTCTCATGGACTGTCCATTTCTCACTGTGAAATTTCTGAGTCTGCCATCTCGGATCATTTCCCTATTTTTTTCCAATTTACAGCCCCCCACCCAGCCAGGAGGCCTCTGGCTGCGGGGTGTCATCGCCGCTGTCTTACCTCAGCCAGTGCCCAACAGTTTACCACTGCTTTTATGGACTCACAGTTTTATTCAGTTGGTCCTGATGTTTCTCTGTGTCCCAAAGATTTCCTGTCATTGTTTTCTGATACCTGCACTGGGATCCTGGACTCTATTGCTCCGGTGAAGTTCAGACACCCTAAACCCAGAGCTGAGCCTTGGCTGAAAAATCCTACTGCATGCAAACTCAGGAGACAATGTAGAAGGGCTGAAAGACAGTGGAAGCATGACAGGCAACATGATTCTTTGGTTTTATTAAGGAGAACTCTTGTTCTGTATCAGAGATCTGTTAATGATGCAAAATCACAATTTCTGTCTAACATTATCACAAACAGTAGCCACTGCCCCAGGGTGTTATTTAATACAGTTAACTCTGTTTTAAATCCACCCACCTCAGTCTTACCTGATGCCTCAGCCTCCACCTGTGAGAACTTTCTCTCCTTTTTTATTGATAAAGTTGCATCGGTTAGACAAGCCACAGGCACACCTGCTACTTCTGTTTCAGAGTGTTCTTTTATCTCTGCTGGTTCTGCTTTATTTGACCAGTTTGAACCAGTGTCTTATTCCCTCTTGGACAAAATCGTCAAATCCATTAAACCCACCAACTGCCCCACTGATTTTCTCCCCACCAGATTATTGAAAGAGGTATTTAATATTGTTGGTCCTTACCTTCTTCCTTTTTTCAATTCATGTTTGTCCATTGGAATTATGCCTTCTGCTTTTAAACATGCAACGGTCCGCCCCCTTCTCAAAAAAACAAATCTTGATCCCTTGGTTTTATCAAATTTTAGACCTATTTCTAATTTATCCTTCCTCTCCAAAGTTTTAGAAAAAATTGTTCTTACGCAAATTCAGGCTTTTCTGGAAAAAAGCACAATCCTGGATAAATTTCAATCTGGTTTTAGATCCCGACATAGCACAGAATCTGCATTATTGAAAGTTCATAACGACATAGCTCAGTCAGTTGACTCTGGGTGCCCAGTAGCTCTGGTGCTCCTCGACCTCACAGCAACCTTTGACCCTGTGGACCACTCTGTCCTTCTGTCTCGCCTCCATGATTTTGTTGGGATTCATGGTACTGCTCTGAAGTGGTTCACGTCCTATTTATCTGATAGAACCTTTTCTATCTTGTTCAATGGCTCCTCTTCCTCTACAGCCCCTCTTCTGTGTGGGGTGCCACAGGGTTCCATTTTGGGTCCTTTGCTCTTTTCATTATACATGTTGCCACTTGGATCTATTATAAGACAACATAATGTCAACTTTCATTTTTATGCAGATGATTTGCAGATCTATTTACCATTAAGGCCAGGATCCAATAACCCAATGCTTTCTCTCTTCGACTGCATCTCTGCAATCAAACATTGGCTGAACAAGAACTTCCTGTTTTTAAATGACAGTAAAACAGAATGGATTTTATTTGGTGACAAAGATGCAACTGGCCTGGGAAATTTGGACATAAACTTCAGTGACTGTGTGAATAACCTTGGGGTGACCTTTGATAAGGCTTTACACTTTGACAAACATATTGCCTCTGTTGTCCGGTCGGGATTCTTTTATTTACGCCTTTTAAAAAAGGTCAAACCCTTTTTAAATTGTCACGACCTGGAGAAAGCTGTTCATGCTTTTATCAGTTCTAGGCTCGATTATTGTAACGCTCTGTATGTCGGTGTACCGCAGTCATCACTGAGTCGACTCCAGCTTGTACAGAATGCAGCAGCGCGCCTTTTAACCAACACTCCTAGATGGGACCACATCACACCTGTTTTACTCTCACTACATTGGCTCCCTGTCCGTTTTAGAATAGATTTTAAACTTTTATTATTTGTTTTTAAAGCTCTGAATGGCCTTGCTCCTCCTTATATAACTGAGATGCTAAGTTTCCCCGCCCGCTCCAGATCTTTGAGGTCAGACAGCTCCTGCTCTCTGTTCCAAGGACTAAATATGAACTCTGGGGTGACCGTGCCTTTTCTGCGGCCGCACCTCGACTCTGGAATAAGCTCCCACTTGATCTGCGTCAGATTACTGAACTTGGCCCTTTTAAATCGAAGCTTAAGACTTTTTTATTCCAACAAGCTTTTAGTACGTAAATATGTGGTGACATTTCTGGTTTTATTTGTGCTATTATGTTGTGTTTTCTTGCTTTTGACCTATTGTCATTTTAAGTACTGTTTTTTGTTAAGCACTTTGGTCACCATCACCATGGTTGTGTAAAGTGCTATAGAAATAATTAAATAAATAAATAAATAAATAAATTGTTAGCAGAGATGATTCATCAGCAGAATTTGCGTGATAATTAAGAAATACCAGTAAAAGGGACAGAGGAATAAACACACGACGTCAGCTTCTTGGTTTTGTCAAAAGAAGAAGACGAATTGTATTAAAGTCAGACCAGAAAGAGCTCTTTCAAAATAAAGTAAAAGTACAAATGAGAGCATACATATTTTTAACACGGATTCGGCAAACATCCATCTCTCAGATTTTTCTTGGTTGTTATGTGTTTTTAATTTACATACAAATAAATCAGGTTATAATGTTTTTGGTGGGTAAAAATCAAATTAATTCATATTAATTCACCACATTTTTGAACGTGCACACGAGCTGCAAGGTACACGGAGCGGGACAGAGAGAACTTCTGGGTCAGACCACTTGTCAAAAATGAAATAATGAACATCAAAACTGAGCGCTCGTTATCCGTTGTTTCCATTTTAATTTTGTGCGCAACATCGGAAATCGGATTATGGTTCGTTACCCGATTTTTCGTTTTGGTTTAATAAACGGAAAACGAGAAAACAAGCGTGTTTTTTTTTTGTTTTTTTCATTTTTTGTTTCAATCGAAAAAACGAACTGCCTGAATGTACACAGACCGCTTTCTAACAGCTTTGTTAATAATGGTTATTAAAGGTTGAATGAATATACTTCATTAGAATGAGACTTTTTAAAGAGCAAATCACCCTTTCATTATATTTGCTCTGTATGTGTTCTGTTTAGTGCACAGCTGTGTTTTTGGTTTTGTTATGCAGGAAAATATTTTATTTTTTAGACATTTATTTTATACAGTTGCGGCTTTGTTAAGCAGTGACAATTGGGACAAAGCTTTGACTCAGAAATATATTTTTGTTATTACTTTATTGAAAAAAATTTGTTAGATATATGTCGTATATTGCCATTTATCTTAAAATAACGAGATATTAATTTTGGTCCATATCGCCCAGCCCTACTTCGGGACAAATTGAGGTCGCTGATTGGTCAAATGCTGACATACCTACTGGACTGATTGACAGGCAGCATTGAGGATCCGACTCGTGCAAAAAAGAAAATCATAGATTTTACTGGCCCGTTTAAGAGTGGCATCATTTATTCCAAATTTATTCAATATTTTTGCTTAGTTTTAGGTTTGAGAACTGAGTTTCTTTACAAAATCCTTGTTATTTCTTTCTGGGAGGAGTTTGCATGTTCTCTCCGTGCATGTCTGTGTTTTCTCCGGGTACTCCGGTTTCTTCCCACAGACCAAAAACATGCATGTTAGGCTGATTGGTAACTCTAAATTGTCCCTAGGTGTGAGAGAGAGAGTGAATGGTTGTTTGTCTCGTTTGTCTCTATGTGGCCCTGTGATGAACTTGCGACCTGTCCAGGGTGTACCCCGCCCCTCGCACAGTGATTGCTGGACATGGGCACCGGCGACCCCCCTGACCCAAAATGGAAGAAGCGGGTAAAAGATAATAGATGGATGGATGGATTTCTTTATTTTTTAGGGGTGCCGAGTTAAAATTTAGGAGTGCTTGAGCACCCCCAAAAAGAGGCTAAAATCGCCACTGGTCTGCACCCCAGTCCAGATTACCTGATTGTGTTTTTCTTCAGCACAGTGCAGACAACAGTGGTTGACAACACCGATGGGACATACAGTGTTTCATACAAGCCTGAGGAACCAGGACTCTATTCTGTATGGATCTGTGTCAAGGCCCAACATATAAAGGTACAAAATTGTGAACTAAGCTGCAGCCTAGGTATAAAGTCCATCACTCACCATTATAGTCCCATGTTCTCTTAAGTGTGTAGTCACTGTTGTAGAATACAATGGCTGTATGTTTTGTTTTTTTGTTTTTTTTTGTATTCGGGCATGCAAAGGTTAAAAAAAAGTAATTTATACAATTCTAAGAAATACCCGAACACACGGCCAATGATTACTGAAGGCTAATGAAGTCACGCCAAGAATTGGGCACAGGCAGGAGTGTGGTGGTTGGTGCACTCGTCCACTCCCGCCTAAAACAAATAATGGATCTCCCACTTCCTCATCAAAGTACTCATTCTTAGGGTTGAATTTTGAATTTTAAATTTGAATGATTCCGATTCTTCTTTTCTATTCTGGTTCCTATCGGTTTCCGGTTCCGATTCTTTTTAGAGGCGGTTGATTGATTGATTGATTGATTTTCTTTTCAAAGGGGTGCACTTTCACCAGAGAGTTTTATTTTTGAAAACCTCATGGAAACACATTTCCACTTGTCCAGTGTGTGATGCTGCAGCCATGTTACTGAGCTCCCACTGATGGGCTAACCTGCTGCAGAATATCAAACTAAAAAACAACAACTTGTACAACCCAGTCCAGATTAGCAGCAGGTACAGTATAAAATCAGAAACTGTTCTTGTTGAGGAAAATGATCATATCTGCTTCTCAGGCAGTATGTGTGAGTGTTCTGCTCGACTACTTCAACTCCCTGTTTACTGGAATACCAGGCAAAAAACTTCAGAAGCTTCAGTATATTCAAAACAGTGCAGCCAGGATTTTATAGAGAGCTCATAAATTTGAACATATTACACCCATTCTCCATAACCTCCATTGGCTTCCTGTCACTTACAGAATTCAGTACAAAATTGCTCTCATCACCCATCAGCGTTTATACGGAAATTCACCAGATTATCTGAAGGACCTTCTTGCTCCATATTCATCCACCCGGTCCCTACGACCACAGAACAGTCATCTCCTCCACCTTCCACGAACTCAATTAAGAACCATGGGAGATCGGGCATTCTGTGTGGCTGCCCCCCGCCTCTGGAACTCCCTCCCTGACTATCTGAGAGCTCCACAATCATCGACTGACTTTAAAAAAGGCTTAAAGACTTTTCTTTTTAAGCACGCCTATTCTGCCTCCACATGATTGTATCATTGATTTTAGTTGATTTTATCATTGATTTTAGTTGATTTTATCATTGATTTTAGTTGCACTCTGTAGCACTTTGAGATTTTTGTTAATGAAAAGTGCGTTACAAATTAAATTCATTATTATTATTATTATTCTCGACAAACAGTGTCTCCTGCAGTGGAGAACACATGTTTGCTGGGTGTGAAAGAAGATTGAACACATAAATATGAGAAATCAAGAAATCAAGATCTGACAGCACGTCTGATAAGTCTTGTGTTGGTTCCACCACCAGCAGCAGGTCCTCAGACAGAACGGCTGGTGGAATGTCCTGGTCCATCTGCAGCCCTCTCTCCACTTGTTTCTTCATGGACATGGAGCTGTGACATTATGTTCTGTGCCTCTTCCTCAGCAAAAAGCTCCTCCAGTGGAGACTTTCTAGACAGACTGCAGGGAGACGGTTCCTAAACAAACAAAAGGTTCATCAGCATTATCAGTAAAAATGGATTATTAAAAGCATGATCATTATTAAGATTGAGAATCTATATAATTTCAGATATCATCCACTTCCACTCCCTCATTCTCAGGCCTTTCCTCAGACTGCATGGTGACCCCATCATCTCCACAGTCTCCCTCTGTTGACCACAAAGAACATTATTAGTATTTAAATAAAGGCTAAATGAAAAAAAAAAAAAATTTAGATTAGGGATGGGGCCGATCCGATCCAGTATCCGTATCGGCCTCTGATACCAGCATAATTTCGGATTTTTCCAATCCAACCTGCCGATATTTCTGATCCATGATGCATGTTGGCTTCAAAACTATGGAATGGATTTACTGAACGGAGGCGTGTCTCATGAACCCAGAGTAATAAGACCCACCTCACATTCAGGAAATCCATTTCATAGTTTGCAGCCAGCTACAACGTGAGGACTGAGTTAGCAGCACTGTGTCTAACAGCTAACCAACTTTTCATCTAAACATGTCCGCTGTGTGGAAGTATTTTACACTAGAAACACCACAAAGCAAGACAGCAACGTGCAATGTCTGCAGAGCCATAGCACCACATTAAACCACGATAAAGTTAGTTTTACGTTGGACATTCGAGCTCCGGGGCTTCAGCGGGGCGCTACTCTTTGCTCAACCCAAAATGGGCAACTTGACCCCGGCCAGCCTCGTCCAATCTGCCCCACTCAATCTCTCAACTTCTACAAGACAAGGACTTAATCAACAGGACCAACTTCACCCCAGACCAGATCTGCACCCTGTTGGATCTCTGCCTCTCCACCACTTATTTCAAGTTCAATGACAGTTTTTACAGACAGAAGCACGGCTGTGCCATCGGATCTCCAGTGTCACCCATTGTTGCCAATCTCTACATGGAGGAAGTGGAACAGAGAGCCCTACACTCCTATGAGGGAACAACGCCAAGCCATTGGTTCCGTTATGTGGATGACACCTGGGTCAAAATCCAAGCCAAGGAAATAGAAGTGTTCACCAGACACATTAACTCGGTCGATAACATCAAGTTCACCAGAGAGGATGCAAACGACAACAAGCTGCCTTTTTTGGACTGTTTGGTTCAGATGGAGAGAGAGGACAGCCTCAACATTGAAGTTTACAGAAAACCAACCCACACAGACCAGTATCTTCTGTTTGACTCCCACCATCCACTGGAACACAAACTCTCTGTCATCAGAACTTTACAACATCGGGCCGAATGCGTCCCCACGAAGACAGAAGGGAAGGAAAAGGAACTGAAACACGTTCAAGAAGCTCTTCAAACATGTGTATATCCTAACTGGGCTTTTGTCAAGTCAGCGAGGAAATCTACAAAACACACTAATAAACAGAAAAAGGAGAACAACAGACGTAAAAACATTGTCATCCCTTATGTTGCTGGAGTATCAGAGAAATTCAGAAGGATCTTCAACAAACACAAGATCCCAGTACATTTCAAACCCAGCAGGACTCTCAGACAGAGGCTGGTCCACCCTAAGGACAAAACACCCATACACAAACAGAGTGGTGTAGTGTATGCGGTCCAGTGCAGCGAGGACTGTCCAGACCTCTACATTGGAGAAACTAAACAGCTTCTTCACAGACGCTTGACTAAACACAGGAGAGCCACCTTCTCTGGACAAAATTCCGCAGTTCACCTCCACCTCACAGATAAGGGACACTCTTTTGAGGACCAAAATGTGCACATTTTGGACCGAGAACACAGATAGTTTGAGAGGGGGGTGAAGGAAGCAATTTATGTAAAAAGAGCAAAGCCGTCTCTTAACAGAGGAGGAGGCCTCAGATTTCCACTTTCAAAAACATATAATGTAACTTTAAAACAGATTCCCAGCCGGTTTTCACACCTGATGGGAACAGAGGGGCCTCAACTGTGAATTAGAGGAACAAAGACCTACTGTTTAGGTTTTTAGGTGTGAACTGCCAATCTACATATATGTGTGTGTGTGTGTCTTATGTGTGTGTGTGTCTTATCTCACTCAGCCTTATAACCTGTATCTCTCGCTCTCTGCTCTTTGAATTGAGAAAGCTCCTCGGATGAGGAGCGAAACGTCTTCTGTTACAAATAAAGTCCAGTTGTTTTTGTATTGAACGCTTTTTGAATTGTGGGATGACCCTTCTCGGTGGCAATTGTGAACAGGGTCTTTACCGCAAGGTTTTTGTGGACATCACCTACACACACGTTTCCTACTATGACCCATCCGAGGTCCAATTTTTGTGCATAGGGTGCATTGTTAGGTCCACTTATCTGTTTACGGACTTTGTGAACTCTTAATAACATCCCGTCCAAGGAGCATTAAAATGGGGGCATTAGAGTCCAGTTCAGGGATGAGGTGAGCTACTGACTTCGAATGGCTGTGATGCATAGCTGCCCTGGGTGTGGGTATCTCATCTCTGTCATTTTGGATATTTTTGCATTCAATAAGGCTAGGCAGTGGAATGTGGACTGAACCATCTAAGGCTTCCACTACATAACCTGTAGCTCTTCTTCCCATTGTATCTTTAGTTCCAGCACATGTCCTAAGTGAGTAAGGAGAACTGGGTCCACAATCGTTAAACAGTTCAAAGAACTCGGGATGTACAAATGATCTGTTACTTTGTTCATCATGGATAGCATAGAGCCTTACTGCTTGTTGTGGGTGGCCTGCTGGGTACACTTTAACGAGACAGATTTTAGAGCATGATCTACCTGCTTCATTCACGCCACAAACCTGGGTGCAGCTGGAAGTGATCTCCTCTGGTTCTGTGGGGTCAGGCTCCCCGCCATGCTCTACTGCAGATTCAGTTTCTCTTAGCCAGGGTGCTGGCCCTGGGTGGAGAGCAGTGCAGTGTTTCTCACTGCTGCACTCAGAGCACTGTACCTTAACTTTACAGTCCTTTGCAATGTGTGAAGATGAGGCAATTAAGCAAAGGTTATGCTCCTTTTTCTCCATTTTTACTTAATTTTTCTCCATTTTCCAATCATCCAGTGTTTTCATATGAAATGTTCTGCATTTTGAGAGAGGATGAGGTTTTTTGTGAATGGGGCAAATCTTGCCACTATCCACAGCTTTGTATACAGATCTGTGCATGTCTGAACTGGAGCGAGAGATAACATCAGTTTTGTGCACTGAAATCTCTTTCTGTCTGTTTTTTCTCCAAGGTGGTTTGTCTGGTTTGGAAACGTCAGGAAATGATGTGAAGTTAAAGCTGGGATCATTTTTAGAGTCAGCTTCTTGTGTAACAAAGTCTACAAAAACGTTAAATGGTGGGAAGGACACACATTTTGTGCATTTGTAGTTAGCTCCTACTGTAATCCATTTTTCCTGCATGTGGAAGG